GAATACACTCATTCCTAATTCTGTCTTGTCTAGTCTTGTCACACATCCACCTTAGCATCCTTATCTCAGCCACACTCATCTTATCTATATGTTGTTTCTTGGTTGCCCAACACTCCGTCCCATACAACATCGCTGGTCTAATAGCCATTCTATAGAACTTACATTTTAGTTTAGTGGGTATTCGTTTTTCGTACAATACCCCAGACGCACTTCTCCACTTACACCATCCCGTCTTAATCCTATGGGCCACATCCGCATCAATCTCCCCTGCTGTTATGATAATCGGCCCTAAATAGCAAAAATGTTCACTCTTAGGCAGTTCTTGGTTCTCAATCTTCACTTCTCCTCTGTTTTTATTGTTACTGTTACTAAATTTACACTGCATGTACTCTGTCCTTGTTCTGCATATCTAGTATCCTTTCGATTCAAGAGTTTTTCTCCAAATCTCCAATTTTGTGTTAACTCTTTCTCTAGTCTTAAACTCTACCAATTTCAAAATTGGTAAAAGAACATGTAAACAACATCTTGCAGCACATATCAAGTGTGTCTAGACTCGAGTAAGTACAACAAATAAAAAGGAAGACAACAAACAACAATTTACTAACTCATATTGCATTAACAACTATTAAATCCCCTCTTTGTCATCTTATAGGGCTTAATCTGGACAAGTGAGTTCAATCTCATTACCTTTGAAGATATTAGAAACTGAATAAAGGAAAAAGAAATTGCCAACAATGTAAGTCTTTCATCAAAATTTCTTTGCAATGTTCCATCAACCTTTATAAACTAATGTTACAATTATAAATGATATTTTTCAGGTCATTGATGGCTATGGAGAGATCCTATTTGCTGACCAAAGGAGAAAAGGACAACAACCAACTTCATTTTTTCCACATGCATGAGCTTAGTATGTTACTACTCTTTTATTTGATTTTTTCTAGAATTTACTTGCTACTTTCTCATGTTAAGATACTTATTGAAGCTAGTTGTGTCACTAGTCCAATTTTCTCTAGCTAGTTGTGTGTATTTAAAATTTCTCTGTGTGTATATTTCTTAAGTTCCTGTCATTTCAACTTTCTCATAACCATTTTTTTATTTTCTCTGACCGCAGAACTTCATCAAGATGACAGAAAATCAAACTTTCTGAGTCTCATTATTTGACAAGCATCTTGAAACAGTATGGAGAAACTACAGTGGGGCAATGAGAAGTCAACAGATGGAAATCACTGGACCTTGCTAGTCTTGGACAAACAAGACAATTTATGGAGGTTCTACAACTCACTAAGGCAAAGGAGGGATGATGCACAAGACAAATATATCAAAGATGCAAAAAAAATAGTAACGAGTACAAATTTCTCTGATCCATGATAATGTTTATGTAATGATAATTTTCAAAGAATTCCATTGATTTGTGTGTAAATTTCTTTATTTTTTTGCAGCAAGATTATGTGAAGAATTTTTTGAAAGCTTGCCTTGAAAGAGAGGCACCATCACAACCCTCTTTCAAATTGATAGACTCACAAAACACAAATTATGACTTTGAATATCTCAACAATACTCCACAACAAGACAATGATTCGTAAGTTTTATACAACATCTATAAATAAGATAATCTAATTTGAATGTTTCTTAAAACTAACTACACCTATAATTTGTATGCAGTGTGGATTATGGCCTCTTTGTATGCTACATAATGAGACAAGATAGCAATCATGAACCTATCAGCTCGAAATTGTTGACACAAGACGTAAGGTTGATGAGGGCAGAAATCATAGAGAGATTTGTGATCGAAGTTGGCCGGTCATGGATAGAACCAATTCAAATACCACCAGAAGAATAACCAAAAGTATAATTGTGAAAGCACACTAGTGAAAGGAAGACAATGCACACAATGTAATTAGGAATAACCAAAAGTATATAATGTTTTACATATATGTATATATCTTTTTTTGACTAATGTAAATTTCATAGCTATCAATGGTTAAATATATATATATATATATATATATTTTTATAATACATGCTAAGTTGTGATTGTCAACACAATCCACACAGAGAAAATTGTCTATAGAAATTTTTCTGGTATGATGTTACCAGAAATTTACAGAGAAATTTAACTCGTATCGTGCCAAGAGGGTGCGTGCCAAACTTCACATGTCCTAGTCTACCGGCACAAACATGTCCATGTCACATGTCCTAGTCTACCGGCACAAACATGTCCTAGTCAACTCCTGAGTTATTATATTAAACATGTCCTAGTCTACCGGCACAAACATGTCCATGTCCTAGATAAATTATATTAATCTACGTAAATATTCAAACTTCACATGTCCGCGTGCACATTTCAACAAACATTTAAGACTATAGCCATAGTTAAATTAAACCATCAGTGGCCAATTGAAAGTTGAACATGCAGCTTTTTCATAAAACCAGCAGCAACATAATCAAACAGAACAGAGCAAATAAAAACCCAAAAACCAGAGCAAAAACGCCAGCAAAACAGCACACAACATCAGCAAAAATTAGCAGAACTGAGAATGAAGACCCAAGACAACTCCTGAGTTATTAAAAATTGAAAACAACTCCATTAACTGAGAATGAAGCTCCACTGATATGAAGATTTCAGCCAAATTGCCACTCACACCTTGAATTTTGGATTTGATTGTTTTAGCCATGAGCACCTTATTACCCGAATCAATGAGAGAATACTAAAGTCATGTTTTCAATTAAGATAAAAATGAGAGAGAGAGAATTCTCTTTTCCAAATATAACCCAAACACCAAAATCAACTATTTTGGCAGCAGCATGACTTATATTCAAGCTCATACTCACTTACGTCATATTCAATCAATCCCTCTTTTCATCTCACACCCAAATCTTAGATTTGTCCTAAACCAACCATATCTCAATCATCTATAACAACAATAGCAAATAACTAAGCTAAAAAACCATATTAGAGTGTAGAAATTCCCTAACCTCCAGTGTAGAAACCCAGGCAACAAGGTGGAACTTCAAAGATGACAAATCAAATTACTTAATGGATGCAAACGAAGAATTCTTGAAGCCCTCTACCTTATTCTCAACACTAGGGTCAAGAACACAATAGATCTAAGATGAAATCTTAGAGAGAATGTGAGTTTTAGAGAGAGAAGCAGCAGACTAAGGTTTTGGGAAAGAAATGAAATCAAACACGTCGCACTCGCTAAAACATCACTGCATCACGCAAATCCTCGATATACCGTAGGCTTACTCGAGTGAAGGAGTTCTCGCTCGAGCGACCAGGCAACAAAAAGGTTGCGCTCACTGCAAGCGCAGGCAGTGTCGGCTCGAGCGGCCCAACACCACATGCACAAGCTTCCAAGGTCTGCAACCACAGAAGCACGCTCGAGCGACAGGAAAAGCTTGCCTCGAGCGAAGGGAAGCTCGCTCGAGCGAAGGAAACCAACCTTCCAGGTTTTTACAGAGACGCATAACGCATCGCTCGAGCACAAGAAGCTTGCTCGACGAGGACATTTCAGCAAGTTGCTAGCTCGAGCGCAAGAAGGCCTCGCTTGAGTGAAGAAAGCGAAATTCTGGGCACCACACACACTTTGTACCAAAAGACAACCAACCTTGTCCGCAAACTCGCCCAACAAAGTCCCAAAAAACTCAAATTCAAAGAATTAAAGGGATAAACAAGAAACATAGACAACAATATACAATAACGGAATCCGAAGTCCGGAGCACAATAAGGTCAGGGTAAAACCGAGATCGCTCCATCAAAAAAGGAGAAGGCAACACACCCCACCACCCCGCACACACCCACACCCACCCAGAAGACATGAAGGCCAACAATAGAGAACCACGCTACACAGCAGCAGTATAAGAGCAGAAGCTAGACGAAGAAAGTGAAGAAGTAGAGTAGAAGACAAAGAAGAAAATGGACAAAAAAAGAAGACAATGAAGAAAGATGAAGGCAACTGAATCTAAAGCTGCAGAAGAAATAATGATAAAAGTGATGAAGAAGAAACACAATGAGCCGATGGACCACATACTGTACGCATTTGTGGCTCAACATCATTAGTAACGACTCTCTGAGGAATCAAAGATGCTCATTGCTTTATATCAAAGATAAGGTACTTTTCTAAATCCAAAACTCACGCACACGAAGAGGAAATTCGGAATGACCTTATCACGCCAGAAAATGACAATTGCACATCGCACGCAACTCTCGACATCACATAACTTAGAAACTTCAAGAAAGAGACAGAACACACACCGACCAACCGCAAACTAAGGATGTTGGAGTTTAATAATTAAGAAACTCGCACACTCAAAAAACCGAATTCACAGTTGAGGTATTCAATTTCAGAGCTTGAAACCGCAACACTCATCCGATTGCATGAACAAATTCAAGAAATTATCCGTCCAACTAACACACACCTTAACCCCGGAACCCCAAAATAAACAACACACACACACGGTTTCCCCCAATCCCAACATCAGTGAAAATCTTGAGCCACAAAACGTTATGTCCTTGTGTCCAAGATAACTCAGAGAAATTTCTAAAATTTATTTACAACTTCTCTGTCTTGGTAATTTTCTTCTCAGAGGTTACATCTTCATATGCCTCATTAATTTTTTGCTTGCTTATTTCTATCGATTCTACTCGCGCTACTATTTGATTTTTTTTCTATCTATTGCTTATTTGATTTTTGGGGCTTGTTTGATTTTCACTGTGTACCATACACGTTGGAATAGAAGTGGAAGCAACAACCAACAACACAGCAAGAACAAGTGCCCACACAAAGAACAACCAAAAACAAAAGACAAAAAGTCTATGGTAAATTGGGAAAATATTGAATCAAATAAAATTTACATATTGAACCCATATGATCTGTTACTTCTCAGAGAAATTTTAACGTTTTTACTGATATTTTCACTGTTTAGAGTGAAAAAAGATCCTAACCATCAATGACATAAAAGAATTTAAAAGCAAAAGAAAGGAAAGAAAAAGTAACAAGATTCAGAATTTCACTATCCCAAAAGTTGCGCCAGGTGACTAGAGGTTCAAAGCCAAGCTGCAAAAACAAATAGAGCAAACCACCAAAGACAAGAAGTACTTGATGCCGATGAGTACGTCTTGCCGTCACCAACCAAACCAAACCAAGCCTTAAGTCCCTCAAATGGGGTTCCGTCTAATGAATCTTTCTTCTCCACGGCGGCCCTGTCAAAGGCCATTTCGTTTAGTCAAATTAAGTAAAGATCCATAATCTCTATTCACAATGTTAGCCAACGTTAATCTTAGAACAAACCCCCGTCGCCCTAACACTCCCCTCTCTGTTACAGCATCGGCATCTCTTCCTACTGTCTCTATGGGTTCCATTGAATGCTGACCAAACATCTCAATCATTCTCTCTGCAACTTATCTTCTAAGTCGGTGCTACTCCTTACGCAATTGCCCGAATTACACTCATTCCTAATTCTGTCTTGTCTAGTCTTTGTCACACATCCCCTTAGCATCCTTATCTCAGCCAACACTCATCTTATCTATAATGTTGTTTTTCTTGGTTGCCAACACTCCGTCCCATACACATCGCTGGTCCTATAGCCTTCTATATAGAACTTACATTTTTAGTTTAGTGGGTATTCGTTTTTCGTACAATACCCCAGACGCACTTTCTCCACTTACAACCATCCCGTCTAATCCTATGGGCCACATCCGCATCAATCTTTGCCCCTGCTGGTTATGATAAATCGGCCCTAAATAGCAAAAATGTTCACTCTTAGGCAGTTCTTGGTTCTTCAATCTTCACTTCTCCTCTGTTTTTAATTTTGTTTACTGTTAACTGAATAAATTTACACTGGCATGTACTCTGTCCTTGTTCTGGCATACTTAGTAATCCTTTCGATTCAAGAAGTTTTTCTCCAAATCTCAATTTTTGTGTTAACTCTTTCTTCAGTCTTAACCGCTACCATTTCAAAATGGAAAAGAACATGTTAAAACATCTTCACACAATCAAGTTGTCTAGACTCGATGTATTACAAAACAAAATAAAAAGGAAGACAACAAACACAATTTTACTAACTTTATTGCACTTATCAATTATTAAATCCCCTCTTTTTCATCTTATACGGCTTCAATCTAGACCATGAGTTCAATCTCATTACTTTGAAGAATATTAGAACCTAATAAAGGAAAAATGAAAATTGCCAACATGTAAGTCTTTCATCAATAATTTTTGGCAATTGTGTCCATCAACCGTTACAACAATGTTACAATTAATAATGATATTTTCAGTGTCATTGGGGATGGGCTATGGAGTAGATCCTTTTGCGGACCAAAGGAGATAAAGTAGACAACACCAGAACTTCATTTTTTCCCACATCATAGCTTATATTACTCACTCTTTTATTTTGATTTTTTCTGGAATTTACTTGCTAGCTTTCTCAATGCTTAAGAATCTTATTGAAGCAGTGGTGTCACTAGTCCATATTTCTACTAGGCTAGTTGTGTGTATAAAATTTCCTCTGGGTTGTGTATATTTCTTGAAGTCCTCGTCATTTCAACTTTCTCATAAGCCATTTTTTTACTTTTCTCTATACTGGCAGAACTTCATCAAGATCGACAGAAAATCAAACACTTTCTGGTGTCTCATATTTTGACCAACTCTTGAAACAATGGAGAGAAACTACTTTACCATAAAACGGGGGCAATGAGAAGTCAACAGATGGAAACACTAGACCATTGCTAGTCTTGGAACAAACAAAGCACAATTTTGGATGGTTCTTAAACAACTCACCTAAGGCAAAGGAAGGATGATGGCACAAGACAAATATATCCAAAGATGCAAAACAAAAATATGTAACAGTCGACAAATTTTCTCCTGATCCATATAAACCCCAGTGTTTATGTAATGATAATTGTTCAAGACAATCCATTGATTTGCTGTGTACAATTTCTTTATATTTTTTGCAGCAAGATATGTGAAGAATTTTTTGAAAGCTTGCCTTGAAAAGAGAGGCAACATCACAACCCTCTTTCAAATGATAGACTCACAAAACACAAAATTATGACTTGAATATTGTCAACAAAACTCCACAACAAGACAATGATCTCGTAAGTTTTGATACAACTCTATAATAAGATAATCTAATTTGAGATGTTTCTTAAAACTAACTCATCAGCCTATAATATTGTAATGGCAAGTGTGGATTATGGCCCTTTGTATGCTACATAATGAGAAGATGCAATCATGACCTATCAGCTCGGAAATTGTATCGACCACAAGACGATAAGGTTGATGAGGCAAGAAATCAAGAAGAGATTTGTGATCAGAAGTTGGCCGGATCCATGGAATAGAAACAATCAATATACCTACCATAAAGAACTAACCACAAGTATAATTGGTGAAAGCCACACTGTGAAAGGAAGACAATGCACACAATGTAATTTAGGAATAACCAAAAGTTATATAATGTTTTACATTATATGTATTATCTTTTTTTGACTAACTGTAAATTCCATAGCCTGTCAAATGTTAAATATATTATATAGTATATATATATATATTATATAATATTTATTCATGCTAAGTTGCTGATTGTCACAACACAATCCATCAACAGAAGAAAATTTGCCTATAGAAATTTTATTCTGGTATGATGTTCACCAGAAATTTTACAGAGAAATTTAACTCGTACGTCCAAGGAGGTGCCTCTATGATGCATGT